ATATTTTATACTATGTTTTCTATTTTGTAAATAGCTTTTAAATACTTTTCATATTTGCTGTATACTTCTTGTTCACACGCCCCTCGTGGAAATCAGCTGTAGTTGACGAGGTTAGCGTGGTTAAATAAATCTATCTATCTATCTAAGGAGGTGTAATTCCGTGTTCGATTTTGGTTTTGGTGGTTCTGGTCTTTCCCGATTCTTTCTTGAATTCTTGTTCCGGTTGTTCCGGTGGTTTCGTTCCGGTTGTTTCGGGTTTTAGTACATGCCGTTTAATACACTGCATGATATTGCTTATTTCACGCATTGAAATGTTTTCGTTGCCCGGCATTTTAATTAAAACCCCGCGGAAGGCATTTAAATTTTCCGTGCAAGATTGTCTCATCCTGCACAGGTATTGACTAATCAGATTGCGTGTTTCACTGTTGTTATTATATAATGTTTAAGAACGAACTTTCCCTAAGTCTCATGTTAATAGTATATTTTCTGTTCAATATACATGAGGGTGTATAAAAAAACCGAGTCCTCACATGAAGTGTAAATTTCAAAGCTAATATGAAAGTTAGACGTTTACACTTGCATTCTTTCGAAATCGCAATCTTTCGGCTATTTTATATACTTTATTTTATAAAATTTGGAGTTATTGCTGGCGAGCTGTGTCAATTTAAGTAAGTGCAATTGGAAAATTAAAAAACGTAGATGTGTTGAATTCACAATTTATTTAAACGTTCCAAAAAATAAGTTGGAAGTACACGTTTACTCAACGTGGCCTCCATTTCACACAAGTTCGTTCGTTGTCTCATATCCAAGACAACTCTTCTTCTTCCCGAGTTTCCTTTATTTCGATTTAAACTTTATGGGGTGGTTCTTCCATTCAATGCATGCAGCCGGTACGTATTTGTTGACATTACGCCAAACGCTCGATGAAGATTACGTCCTGGGAAAGCTTTTTGAAATTGTCTTAACACTGCAACAACGCTTTTTGTTTCGAAATACCTTTCAGCAATGAATGTTCTTTCCGGAATTGTTAGCTTTGGCATTATGAACGGTGATTGTAAAGTTTTAAACAACAACGTTCTAAATTTTAGCAAACTACCTTTAATTAAGTCCCCATGCAAGGACTTCGAAGATTAATATTTCGAAGCATCTAAAAACGAGCGCTTGTACTAAATTCTTTTTATTGCGATTAGCTTTGGTTCAAAATTTTCAAGAAACCTTTCATTCGAAAGATGAAATAACAGGCTTTAAATTGAGCACAGAACGAAACTATGGTAGTTTATTTTACGATAGAAATAAGGATATTTAGGACGACTCCGTTTTTTTTTATACACCCTGTATATAAGGCCACATATAATAATGTATATAAGACGTTTTTAAATGTGTTTATTACATTAACAAACGACGTTGTAATTGTAATCTTATAACTACCTGAAGATGGAGTAAATCTCCGAAACGTTGTTTGTTAATGTAATAAACACATTTAAAAAACGTCCTCCTGTGGTCTATATATTGAACACAAAATATACTATAATTATATAATACTTGTTTCACTATTTTTTCACTTTGTATAACGGTGTTTTAAATAAGTACAGGATGGTTTCGAGACCGTACAATTTGGATAAAACATGTATGAGTGAGTTTTTCAAAGAGCATCTAAATAGCGTGCACGAGTCCGATGGACGAGTGCTATTTCAGTTCTTTGAAAAAATTCACGGAGTGCTTGTTTTATTCAAATTTCACGATAAACAATCCTATTAGGTATTAATAATATACATAATTCATAAGACATAAAAATGTTCGAGACAATCGTCCACTGACAAATTTTCCTGCTTTGATTGTTATATTATATCATACAACGCCAACGGCTTAAAAATTTTACTTAACTATGTAAGTTTTGTTAGTCTTGTTTAAAGGAAAGTCGTTTCCGTTTTTAAAAAAGATGAAAGCCACCTTTTCCACCTGAACTCAAATTTTACTTTATGTAGTACGGCCGCCATGTTTGCAATTTGTGACCGTTGCTTGAGGACTGCTTTAAACCGATTGGTAGAATTTAGATCCCATTGTTTTTTCCACCAATCAGATCAGTTTGTTACAGATTTTTGCACTGTTGTTAGAGACATTTGCACTGTTGTTACACATTTTTGCACTGCCGTTTGAGATTGACTGCACTGAAATCATGCAACCAATCACAGTCGAGTAACTTTTTATGTATATTATTATAATTGCAATAGCAGACTGTGTTTAAAAAATAAGCTTCTCTGTTCAAAATTTACAAATGCAAATTTTGCAAATGTACAAAGCTGCAATATACATGCAGACCTAATTATAGGTGGCAGTAAACCGAACATCCGATGATTTTATTTTACCTTGGGACTCTCAATATGATAGATATAGTATCGTAACAGTTCGTTTATTTTTTTCTAGACATTGCTGAGTGAAAAATATTTCTGGAAGATGTATATTCAAAAGTATTTTGATTTGGGTAAAAAATCTGACCTCTCAAACGAGGGGCCAATGGCACAGTGGTCGAACTCAGAAGAGTGGTGAGTATTCTAGTGAATAATTAAATTGTTAAAAAAAATATTAGTTGGTCTCATTTGAAAAAACTTCAAAATTATTAGAAAACTCTTCTACAACTTTTTCAAATATTGCTTAGTTCTCGAAATATTTCGTAAATAAATCCTAAGTGCTCCGTGATCAGACATGAGTCATCAGGTGGCTGCCTGTAAAAAGCCTTCCACACGATCAGGTTGAGCTGCGTCCCTCATAATTCAGCTTAGCTCTCAGCGCAAGTAATGATGATTAGCACACCCCACTTCCCTACACATGTTACGTCACAAGAAGGGTCACGCAAATATTTACCTAAATATGCAATACAGCTGTGGATTGAGGGGGATACAACTAGCTGAAAATACAAGCAGAACTTCGACGCTTTGAGTTAATGTCCTTCGTCGGAAATTAATAGCCAAATAAGCTGGCTACTGATCGGTACTACTTTCCCAAAGAATGGTCTGCGTGCAGCCTGACTTTAAATGGGGAAAAGTCATTTCCATTTAAAGTCAGGCTACACACAGGCTACCAAAGAAGGGTCTTTGCTCGGAACGTAGAAGTTTTTCTTATATTTTCCATGTACATGAGTCCGAACCTGTATTATGAGGCACCGTATTAAGCTGTCACCCTGTATTAAGCGATCATTTTTTACTAAAGTCCCAAAAGGTTGTAATGTAAATGCTGTTGAAGTGACCTTTATTAAACGACCATCTCTATTAAGCAGATGGGGACAACTTTCGCACAGTCCCAAACATTATTTTGCATTGTTTTGTGACTGTGTTAAACGGTCACTGTTAAGAAAAGCGATGGAATCTGGTGATGCGTCGCGAAAATTTGCACAATTTAATGGAGATCAAGAGGCTTCTGCTATAATCATATCAAGAGTGCTTGATTTATCGAGCCAAACCAAACTTAACACGCCACAACGGCTAAACTTAGCACGGCTCTGTCATTTTGTATTTGTTGTTATGTTCAGTTTTCTTGTTTTTAAGAATCAGCGACACCTTTTTTAACCGTGGTAATTAGACCTGCATTAGTCAGTCACCCTGTCTAATCCGGTTACTTGCGAAATCCCCAAGGGTGACCGCTTAATACAGGTTCGACTGCACTTGTATCTCTGTAAATCTACAGCTATCTTGTTTTCGTCACCATGCACCTACACTAGCAACGACCGTTTGAGACTAAATATGGAATGGTCATTTTGAGCCCAAAATTATACTTCGGCCACTATTCGAATATAAATAACCAGTTAACACATTTGGTTGTGCCATCCAATCTATTTAAAAGCCTTGTTTGTGCTTACTTTTCTTTTGTATTTTGAAGGTTTTGTTACTTTGAAGAGGATGGGGAAGATACGTATGTGATGCGTCCATTTCCCTCAATGTGGAACTGTCGAGTCGTTCATCCGTGTGGTTTGGACCCATTCTCCGGTGATGTGAGAAGCTTACAAGGTTTTTGTCGTTCTCTTGAAATACTGACTTACATGAGAAGTGAAGCGTCTCGCTTGGGTATGCTAAGTGGTGAGTGCTTTTGTATTTCACATGCAAGATAAAATTTAAAGAAAATTCATTTACTTTTTGAGATATATACGAACAAGAAGCCAATTCACACAATTTCATAACATGTAGCTAACATGTAGCTATAACATGTAGCTAATGTATGCATGTCATCATCATTTGACTCATTTGTGCTTCACTTATAGCCGCAAATCCAATAGAACTGTCATTAAAGAATGTTTGTACGAACATATTTTGTCTTCTGTGTAAAGCAAAATAAGAAAGGCACACTTACTGTCGATCCAATGGGAGTGTTGATAAAATATTGCATGAATTCATTTCCTCAAGTTGATCAATTCATACGAATTCAAATTTCTTTTTACTTTCTGTGCGTTTTCTATTGGTCAATCGGTTCTGAAACGAAATCTAATTGGCTCATCTAAAAGTAACAGGAAGTTGATCAATTTTCTATCAAATGAACTGATCAAGTTGAGGAAAGGAATTGGTGCAGTATTTTATCAACGCTTCCATTGCATCGACAGTAAGGAATTAATAAATGTTCGGCCCGGCATAAGAACAATGAAAAGCATTAAGCCGTGTGGTCCTGCAAACACCTTGCAAACAATTTATCGCGCGCTGATACAGCCTTACTTCGATTACTGTTCTTATTTATGGGAAGTTTGTAACAAGCAGCTCAAAGATAAACTTTAAAAATTTCAAAACCGGGCAGCGAGAATTATAGCTGGCGCTAGCTACGAGGCCAGATCTGCTGATGTTCTTCCATCCCTTGCTTGGGATAATTTAGAGGCAAGACGACGTACAACGAAATCAACGTTGTACAAGGTCCTGAGTAATCACACTGGACCGAACTTAAAAGAAACATTAATAAGGAGAAATGATATGCAAATTAACTATGAGAATAATCACAACGCCAGGAAAAGCCATTGTGTGAGGGTTTTCAATAGAGTGCAGGTGTTTGACTCCCTAGTAATCGATATCCACGCGGCTCCCAAAATCTGGGAGCCACGTGACCAGCATTCACCAGGGTCTCTTCCTCTAGCGAGGAGCGTAGAGAAGAGAACCTGGGTACGAGGTTGACCAGACGATTAGCCAATTATTATAACCCATTAAATTGCATTGCGCCCCAATACACTCTACTTTAGGGACGGACCATTAGAAAAGTGATTGGGGGGGGGGGGGAACGAAAAAAAAATATTCCCGAAAATTAGGGGGGAAAAAATCTTCCCAGGCATAGTGCAAAAAAAAATCCTAGCTTGGAAGATAAGCCTATAAATCTCACTTAAAAAAAATTTCCAGCCATCAAGTGAGAAAAAAAAATTCTATAGGTGTACAAAATAAAATATATTGCCTCTTAGAAAATCCCCCCCCCCATCACTTTTCGAATGGTCCGTCCCTTATTATTTTATTCTAACTAACGCCAGGCGATTTTACTCGTCAAGAAGAGAGCTTTGGTGCTCAACGGGTTAACAACACAATGTGATTTATTTCATTCCAGGTAACCAGTGCTCAGCCAACGAAGGGCAAGATGAAATTTGTGCTGTTATACTTCCTTGGGACAAAAAAGAACTACCTACACCGCTAGAACTACTAAACGGGGTCTTCCATTTTCATCCAGAAATATATGAATATTATACAAGCCACCCTCAGGACAAAGGCGAGATAAGAGAAAATAAATTACACTTCCACATTCGACCAGACAACTTTGATGACTCTGATTATGATGCAGATGCTGGCGAGCATGACTTAACAGAAAAACCATGTCTAAACAGGATTTTTGGGATGGATTTTGCAGAAGAAGATGAGCTATGGAAGTTTAAAGACTCACGAAAGTTCTATGAATGGTTACAACCTATTATGTATCCGTCAGTCACAGTATATGCGGGCGAAGATAAGTTTAATCCTGTTGCAGTGTTTATGCTGACACAGCTTGCCCCTGGCTGGGTAGGTGGGGCATTGACGGCCGTTAACTATACATAATTTGTTGTATACAATAGCTCGCCCCTTGGCGAGTAGGTGGGCATTAACGGCCGTTACATATAGTATATACATGATTACAGGTCATTTACAATAGCCAGTCCCTGTGTGAGCATAGAACGGTCAATGTATAGTTGTTTATTGTTTATTGTTTATTGATTACAATTCTTTGTTTGCAATCACGTGACTTTGCTCGTTAACTGAAATCTTAAAATTACGTCATTGCAAACAAAAAATATATCTCCACAGGGGATAGTTTACTTATATATTATATTATATATATATATTATATTAATATATTTACTTTACTGCGACACACAACAACTATTGAAGACAACTATATACTGTATAATGTATTACACTTTAGAATCTAAAAACATAATTTATTATAAATATTAGCATCAATTGGCAATTCCAGCTTTTAGTTTATGCGTGCAGGGGATGAAGGGAAGGGAAGTAAGGTATCATATTGCTGATTCCGGTTGGAGATAGCGTTCCAGTCATATTTTTAGTCCCCTGATCTATTTATGCACTCTTCACGTATACTTTATAGCTTTAAAAGCATGTATCATGTATACTAGTAACATCGAGTACAAAGTCTCGGAAAATATTAGTCCAACAAAGGAGGAATAAAAAGAGAACACACACTATCAAATAGGTAAGTCAATTTCAATTTGAAATTTATATTTTATGACATACTTTTAGTATAATATACATTACTATAATTGATACATTTATACTATAAGTCTATACTGACCCTTGCGAGATTGGGCTTCTTGTGCTTTATCCAGTCATTTCATATCAGTGGCCTATAGCTGTGTTTCCCGGCCATCCATTTAGGTAGCACAGCTTAGTTGTACCACAGGGAACGGTTCTTGCCTGTCAGCGACAGTCAGGCGTCAGCTGCCACCATATATAGGTGCAGTGGTGAATGATAGCGTTGTTTTAGGCAGGGCCAGAACTACAGGGAGTGTGGGGCCGTGTAACACCCCCCAAAGAAAAGTCAAGAAATGAGGCCCAACTTCCCCAGAGAGGGCCCCAGAATGCTGGAATTGCGGAACGTGTTAAATATTAAGGAATATTATGAAAAAATGAGGTCGAAATAGTATTTTTAACCCCCATTGTCGCTATTTTTCGCCAGAAACCGTCGACATCCCCCATATAAAAAATAGGTGCAAAGACTGGCACTAACTTCAAATCGCCTTTTTTAACAGGCTGCAGCTCAGGAAATATTTGGAAAATCAAAAAACTGTTTTAATGTTCTATAGTCTATAGACCAGGGGCGGACTGGCCCACAGGGATACCGGGAAATTTCCCGGTGCGCCCCTGATTAAAATGTTCTTTGGCGCCCCTATTTTGGAATTTTGTAGATAATTTATATGTTATTTTGGTAATGGTATTTGTTCACGCCCAGTCTAACAAAGACATAAGTTCTCTCACTAATTCGGAAATGGTTAATGCTCGACGGCGCGATGTTCAAGAAAACATTCGTGTCTTAGAAAGAATAGTATCTGCAATCAAACACCTTGCTAAACGATCCTTTTCAGTCAGAGGACACCGAAACGAGTCTTCACAGACTTTAGATGATAGATCAGTTGATCATGGCAATTTTTTAGAAACAATCCTTTTGTTTTCGGAATTTGATGTACCTTTACGTGGAAATTTATAGTAGCAATGCTTTCAAAAGCCCAGTTAACAAAATTTTGCTAGCAATTTTAAACATCATCAAATTAAACATTATTCAAGAGATTGGAGAAAAGAAGTTTTCAGTAGAGATGGGTGGTACACAAGACACCGCCACGGTGGAACAGGATCGGAAACAACAATTTTGCGTTATGTTCTTGGCCTGGAAGTCAATAAATCAAAAGTTTATGATGGATCAGCAGCTGTATTTTTCAACTTTTGAAGACAAATGTTGAGCAACAAGGTCTAAAGATTGAAAATATTATCGGTGAATCATTTGATGGAGCATCAAATATGCGTAGGGAGTTCGGAGGTGTACAGAAGCTGATCAGAGACGTTTCGCTAAATTCGTTGTACACATGGTGCTACGCTCATGTGCTAAACCTTGCTGCTCCAGATATGGTAGAAAACATAATCGAAGTGAAAATTTGATCAGCTTGCTTCAAAGCACCGTAACGTCTTTTTTCAGATTCGTGCAAACGAATGGATGTTTGGAGCAGGATAAAGATTGACGAAGCAGTTGGTTCAGCAAAGCTAAGGAAATTGCAGAAGATTGGTGACACTATATGGTGGCCTAAGCAGGCAACATTAGAAACAATTTTTTGTCCGTATAACAATAAAAAAACATAACGTATTTTGTCATGCTAAAGGTACTGAATGATATTGTGAATCTGCCCAAATTCAATGCAAAGGCATCTATTGAGGCCTCGACGTTGCTTGAAAAATGGTTCCAATCAGTAACATTTTAACTGCATATTTTCTACTTCTTGTGCGTAGTATTTTACGTCAAGCATCCGATTACTTGCAAACAAGTGGTTTGGATTACCTTAGTACTTGGAACATGGTGCAGTCATCAAAAGACGAGATACACAGAATCTCATATGACACCACTGTATGAAGCATCAATTAATTTTACCCAGTCAATGAATGCCAAACTGGCTGAAGACGATCTTGACAACATTAAAGTTGAATCGAAACTAGAAGATTCAAGAGTAATGGAGAGCAAGCATCTGATATGCTAGCCGAGGATCCAATTGTGCGGTTTCGTGCAAACGTTTTCAGACTAGTAGTTGACCAGATTACGACTAGTATTGTCTGGGGTTTCTGAAAACAGCCTTACTAAAGTTGCTAAGATAACTGGCGTTGACCCTTTGTCACTGAAAGAAGAATTATGCTGTTTAGCGAGAAATTTCACGGTGTTATCACGATCACTTCCTGATGAGTCTGAAGGTGCTTCTGATGACGTTGCCACCATGACCAGTACCAATGAGGAGGAGAGCAGTGAAGAGGAGAGCAGTGATAATGAAGACGGTGGTGTCAGCAAGAATCCAATACTAAGAAATCGATATGCTGCTCGCAAAGGAAACTGTAAAAAGTGTCTTGCTTGCTGTCACAAAATCCTCTTCAAGTACTCACTCATCACTTCAGCTCTAACAAATTTGTTTGTTGTGTACGAACATTTGTTGACATTGTCATTTACGCAAGTTAACTGTGAAAGGGCATTTAGCAAGTTGAAACAAATAAAAACTAGATTAAAATCAAGTTAGCGAATGATAAGTTGGAAGCTGTAATGCTAATGACAAGCGAGAAAGACTTGCTTGATAACATTACTGTACATGACATAATTGCTATTTTAGCTAAAGCGTCTTCAGTGTTACGTCAAATGCTTGTTATGTCTGATGAAATAAAATAAAGTTGTTTTACTGCTCGTTAACCATTTTTATTTATTTGTAAAGCAGCGGTTCTGACAATAGGCGAAATGCCAAATGTTATTTTTGTGCATATGTTTCACTCCGAAATACGGATCCGAAATAATGCACAGTTTGCACACAATTTCTATGTAGCTGTTGCTCACGTTATGGCTACAAGCGGCGCCCCCTTTCTGAGTTTTCCCGGTGAATTACGTATAGGCCAGTCCGCCCCTGCTATAGACAGGTATTTATTGTGTACGTTTAAACCATGCAACTTATTTTTTTCTGTGAGATGCCTTGGAATTTTAAAATTTCTATCAGTAATAGAAATTTATAATAAAATGTCAGAAATTCCAAATTTTTGGTTTATATTAGCGTTAATTTCACAGATGCCTACATATCTGATATTCACATTTGTGTTAAAGTGTACACATCCTGTCAATATAGTGCTTTCTTCACAAAATGCACAATACTTTCACTTATCCGCCCCACTAAAAAAGAGATCCCAAATGTGGTTTACTACTTGGCATGGATTACTGCGAAATCGCTTTGTATGTGGACGATTTTGTACTGTTATATTCGCGCGCCGAGATTTTCTGAAGAAAATTTGCTGAAAATTTAATCATCGGGGAGCGTTAATTCGGCGACTGGACTGAACTAAACTAAACTGAATTTTTGCATTCGTTTTATTGTTCATTTTCTATTATTAAAATTTGTGATTATAAATTCAGGTTCAAATTTGTACGAAAAAGTCAGGCGAGTTTTAAAAGGCGCGGCAGCTGTGCGCCTGAATGCAGGCTACAGCTTCAGCCGAAGGAAGTTCAAGGAACTACATGTTTAGTGATATTTTGATCAGAAGACATTTTATTTATAATATACGGAAAGTAATGCAATTTTTGGCATGATTTTATGGCCTCAGCTGGAAAAGTGAGAAAGCAAGTAAGTGATTAGTTTAGTTGGAAGTTAATATTGAAAATATTATCGCTGTAATACATTCAGGACGAACAGTTAATATTGTCTTGCAGCATTGAATATGCAGACGTATCAATAATGTATTTTATCTCTTTCTATTCATGAAATGTTCATGTTTGTAAACGAGTTAATCTGATCCTATCCGATCAGTTAATCCACTCAGCCAATCCAATTGGTTGAGCACCATGAACTGATCAAAACCTGCCAAAGCTCACTATAAACATTGAGGTTTCCCACGACAAATTAAATAATATCATTTAAAATTAATGCCGTAAAAGAGTTAATAAACAACTGCTCACATGAAACTTTCATAATATTGTCAGGAGTTTCTATCTGTAAATATTGAGCTTAAGCAAGCAAAATTTTTGACAACATGGACACAGAGTAGATACATATACAGAGTTATAACTAGTGTACCCACTTTTGTACCCACTTTTTTGTGTGTGCACTAGATGCATGCATCCCTGGTCATTAGATGACGGCTCCCTTTAACTGCTCGCAGAACTTGCCGAGCACGCCCAGTTGATCGTTTTTTGCCTGGCAGTCACCTGAAAAAAGTGGGTATGTGAAACGTAAGTTTCCGCAGTATTTACGACAGCCAGTTACACCTCAGGCTCTGTATGTATCTACTCTGTGACATGGATGTGACATATTTCAAATTTAGCTGCAGAGTGCAGTCGATAGTTTCACATTTGTGATTTCAAATAATAATGGCTGTCACCATCTACATGTACAACAGATTGATTTACTTCTGATCAGTGTTTGTGAACCAAAAGGTTATACATGGTACTAATGGAACCATTAGGCTGCAGGACCTTGTGCATGTTTTTTTCAAAATTGTGCTTGTGAAACCATACTATTACCTAATACTAATCATCAGTGCATGAAGTGTATAAACTCCTTATATCTTATACAGTACAGCCCTAATGAAAGTTAACCATTCTCGCTCGATGCTATCCAGGAAAATGTTTCGAGTATCGAGATCTCGAAACCCACTCGATAAAAATTCTCTTTCGCTCGATAGGCTTCTCGAAACGCGCTTCGCGTTACTCGATACACAAGAATTTTGCGAGAAATCTCGATGCAAACATTCACGAGAATTCTCGCAGCACTATACTGCGTGTAAAATTTTTCGCATACGTAAATAATCTGCAACTACTGGTAGAAGTAACGTTGCTTCGCAAGTCCGTGCGAAATCACGGGGTAAACTGAAATTAACAATTCTTGACTGATCTTTAAGGACAACATTAAAATCCAGAAACATTAAAATCCACAATCAATATTTTGAAATAAAGACGAAATACAATCTACAAAAATAAGTATTATTTTACCTCCAAAAGATATCAACTTCGCTTTCCGTGCCTTTCAATGCAGTATCGCTGACACGTCACTTCCTTTGACCGCGATGATATCACTACTTTATTTGCGCTCAGTAACTTCTCACGCGACACCACTAACAGTGTCTTATCAGCGTAAAAGTAAAACTTCGTCAAGTTTCGTGAAGACATCGCGTTCTTATTTCTATTTCTATAATATCTCTCAGAGCAGGCTCACCGACAGAGATCAAAACAGTAATGAGCCTAAGACGCTTCAGATCTCAGTATAAATCAGACAGCATGTTTTTCACTGACATCATCTGTAATGCTCTTTTGTTTTCGATAATCCATACGAGACAATAAGTTGTCGGTGGAGTTCCTGTTATTGTGGTTGTAAAGAATGCATAAATACAGCTATCGGTTACTAAATACAATCAACCGAAGCGAACTAACATTATTTATAGCCTAAGGCTATAATTATATAGATTGTTTTGGTGTATATGAGTCACACCGTAAAATTTTGGAAATAGTTTATTTCTAACGATAACGAGTACGTTGAGCCGCTAATTCTAATAAAGTATATAATAGAAAGAGAGTGTTTTTTACTGACACTAACATGTAACACTTCGAATAAACAGACGCTGACTTAACCAGGGAATTTTGTTTATCTTGAGGTTGTGTAAAGGTGAGTAACGAAATAATATAACCGCTATCACCCTATCATAGTTATATTTTTAGGGAACTGGTAAATATAATATGTCAAAATACGTGACGTTTTCCATGCAAGGAAACAGCAATTATCCTATATTTCGCCACATGTTGGTCAAACTCTCGCTCGATTTCGCACGATACAAACAATTTTCGAGAACTCTCGCTCGATATCTGATTAAAGTCTTCGAGAACACTCGCTCGATATTAAAAATTTTCGAGAACGCTCGCTCGCTTCGCGCTCGCATACTCGCAACTCGCAGATTTCTCGTTAGGGGTCAAATCGCGCTCGATAGCCTCTCGCTCGAACTCGCAACTCGCTCGTTACACGATGTTAACTTTCATTAGGGCTGTACTGTAGTTATCCAATCATTGCCATCACAGTAGCAAGTAGCCAAAATTTCATATTTTGACCTCGATTTACAGAATAATACTAGAAATACATGCATGCAGAAACCCCTCATTTTGCTGGCAATTTAACAACTTACTATACTTTCCAAGCATGAAGTATTTGAAGTGGTTGTCATGGTTACACAATTATTTTATTCTTTTTATTTTTAAAATTTGAAAAATCCAAAAATCACAGGAAGCCCAAACAAACGGGTTGAAATAAATAAAAGCTGTAATTAAAACGTAATGCAATGAGTAATATGCAATTACAGTAGCAATAAAATTGCTGTTAGAATCATGCATGTAGCGTGCTCCAGTCAAATCACAGCACAACTGGAGCACGCTAAATATAATAAAACTATGCAATCTTGCAAGCATAAAAATAACTTTGCTATATCCTCTTTATTTAAAGATTTTTAAATTATAATCCAAAATAATAAAAACAGGCAATTTAGTAAAATCCACTGAATTAATCGTTAATTTCTGATGAGCAGCCAAACAGTTTATTTGTTTTTGCTTCATAACAACAGCTTAGGAACAATAAATTACAGAAAATCATAAGCAAATTTGTTTTAAATATTGATGTATTGTTTACTTTAAACATAGGAGGTCCTCCAATGAAAGAAAGCCATCAGCGCCTGTGATTATTGATGAACTTTAAACTTTGCTAATTTGTTCATTTCCCCAGGTGTAGATAGCTGAGTGGAATAAGTACCCTCGCCGTAGGCTAATGCCTGGAACAGCACTTTGCACCATTAGTTTGGCGACGATGGTTTTATGAACTGACATAACTAATTTTAGTGACACAATCTAAAAACTGCAATTACTTGGGAAGAATTATTAATAAACTGTTTACAACCTTCATACAGTAGATAATATTTGATGTCAACTTCTGCCATCTTGCCTTCACTTTTCTCATAGGCTGTTATTATGTTATATATTTGTTATTAATACTAGCTAAGGCCATGCCAAGCACACACTTTATCATAAGTTCTAGTAATGAATACATCTATATGTGCCCGCAACATCTTCCCTTCTTTAAATGTTAATATACAAACAAGCCGAACAAAACACAACAACCTATCTTAATTAATATATAAGTCTCCAAACTGAGTACCGTATATGCTCTCAGTTCTGATTGTCATGACTATAATTCATAATTGACGATTAATTGGCAGGTTTCAGGATTGACTAAATTGTCACACTAAAGAGCTTGATTCTGGTTGGCATCCTGATGGCTCATCCTGATCTGCTAGTCATGTTCTGGCTCAAACACATATTTCTGGAGTGGTATCATACTTGCTGTTCTTGTCGTTGGTATCCATGAACTGTTGGCCGCTTCCTGACGAATCTTCATTCTGTTTGTTGATGTCTTTATGTCTCTTGCAGCAGACGTGGTTGTCTTTGGAGGTGGTACCAGAGAGTCTCTCAAATGTATCCTATTTCTCTGATACTTTCGCCCATCTACTTCTACCATGTGGCTGTGCGATGCTGTTTCATTATACCACATTGCCCTCCCTCCATTCACAATGTTGCTGGTGTGTCTTCACTCTTACAGGCTGTCATATATGGAACTTCGGAAGAGTTTTAGGCTTTAGCGTTGCTGACGTTTGGCTATGAGTTGCTCTGTTATATGTAATATGTGGCTGTGCTTCGGGTTTCAGCATTTTGTTGTTGCACGAAAGTAAGGATCTGGTTCGATGTGTCTTCTCCTGGTGTTGGTGCATTACGCCACTCTAAGATTGCTATCCACACACACATTTTTCTTCTCTTTCTGTGCCTTCCACATTATGTTCTGTATGATTTTTACTCCAGACTCTGCTTTCCCATTTGATTTGTGGTGATGGGGAGAAGACATGATGTGATTAATATCCCAGGCTGTGGTGAAGGTACGAAATTCTTCGAAGCTGTAGTTGCTACCGTTGTCAGTTATGAGAACTGCAGATGTGCCATGAGTGGCAAAGATTGATTTCATTCCTTCGATCAACGACACAGTCAACAAGTCGGGATTGCTACAATAACAGCATTGATAGTGTTTCCTTCTAGCTCGAAGCAATCATTCGGCACGGCCTGCCAAGGTAGTTTTGATAGTGGATATGACATCATCGGCTCTTTTTGTTGAGCAGGTCAGATGATTTAAAAGGATGGCTTGCCGAATCTCAAGCCCTCAACAATGTAACTCTCAAAGTTAGACGGCCTTATTAACGTCGAAAAACGAAGAACTGGTGCTTGAGTTATCAGCTTTTTGATTATTGGGAATGCTTCTTTGTACTGGGGTAACCAATCGAATTCTGACGCCTTGACGGTGAGACGACGTATAGAGGTTCTGCAATGATACTGTACTTGACAATGGTAGTTGGCTACACCAAGTAGTCTTTGCACTCCTCGCATATCAACATATTGCTAGAACTTTCTCAGGGTTTGGTGAAATCCCATCTTTACATCTTTAGTGACAACATGACCATGGTAGGCTACTCTATCAAACTTGTACTTGAGTTATTTCTTGTTTAGCTTCAGCCCCTTAGGTCTGCAACGTTCTAGTAGAGTCGTGAAGGCATTCTCATGAATTTACATTGCTTCTTCCTATTCATCCAACTCGACTTGTAGAAAGCCATTTTTTGCATCAACAATGGAGAACACCTTTGTCTTTGTTAGTTATGTTGCTACATCGTCGATGATTGGTATTGTCTACATCGTCGATTTATAATAACTGTATGCTTTTTTTAGCTTCTCGACTACATCCGTGCCGCTTATTCACGGGGTTGGCAAGGTTACTTTGGCGATGACTACCATTCTTTCAAACTCATTGATCTTCTGTTTGAGCTCATTGATCTTCTGTTTCAGCTCTCTAGGATTGCTCTGTACTGGTTTAACATTATATAGGATTGGTTTCAATATAGTACTGTACAGAAATTTGTCCTAGACCGGTGAACACATCTTTCTATACTCTCGGAATATCTTTTCCTAGTTCGTAACTGGTGATGGTCTTTTCGCGTTCTGTACTTGGTGTACGCACTGTTTATTGAACTGTACTGGTCCAAGAGCTTCACATACTTTGCCAGAAAATAGCGATCTACAGTAGGTGTATCCTTGACAATTTGAAAGTTGACTTTTTTGCTAATGTCATTATAGCTGTGCAGCGTAGTTTAGTTTGTCCCAAATACATGTCCATCTTTTCTGGCGGTGGTATCAACGATCGTGACATTTTATCATTGAAAAGTAAACTTAGTTTATATTGCTTTACAGTCCTTGAGAATGTGTATACACAATTTTAATACGGCGGCTAACATGTCGAACAGAAAAAAGTTGATATTCCAGCTTAAAAGTTTGATGAGATTTAAGAAAACAATCCAGCAGTTGCAGTAATTTACCTGTTTTTTCACCTTCTCTGAAGTTCGTATTAAAATGTATCACCCAGTGCATTTTTTAAGGATACTTCAGTGGTGGGGCAAAACTGCCAAAGGCCCCCATTTTCCTTGCCAACCCCATTCATGCAGCCTAGTATGCGATTGCCGAAGGTGTGAGCCGAGTACCGCAGGCACGAGTTAGCTTGGGAGGTCTGGGAGCATGCCCCCCCCCCCCAGGAAATTTTTAAAATTTGGGTCTCTGAAATAGCATTTCCTGCATTCAAGCTTTTCAAAACAAAGTTTTAATGGTGAAATTTGTAATAAATTGCATGCTAAACATTCAAACACAACATAAGTTTAACACTTTCGTCACCAGGCGACTTTTGGTTCCGGCGATATCCAGGTTAGGGTTAGGGTCCAAAAAGTGGGACAAATTTTGTTTTTTAAACTACTTTTTAATGTTAAACTCATTTACTGAAATACAGGTGCTAGGGCCCTGACTTTGGGGAAATAGGCCATTTTTTTTCTTCAGTGGTGGGGCAGAGGAAGGGGCCCAGTGGGGCAAATGCCCCACCAGTCCATGGTATTAAAAAATGCCTTGGTATCACCTGACACCATGTTATGCTATACATGTGTTAGTTACTATACCATGCCGAGTGCACACTTTATCATAAGTCCTGGTAACTACAAAAGAATACATATAGGTGCCCCACAACATAGGCCAAATGACTGAAGTTCTTGCTCCAGGGCTCAATGCGCCCCAGGTTTCTTTGTTATACGTTAACTGCATCTGACGCACGACTATAGTGCTACAGTATAGTGAAACCCATATATATATATATATATATATATATATATATATATATATATATATATATATATATATATATATATATATATATATATATATATATATATATATATATATATATACACTCAGATATTCTTGAGAACCAAGTATGTCACTATTTTTTAAGAGTGAGTCAGTCACAGAACACTGGACAGATGACCTCCCAATATGTACCCAATCAGGGGTAGGATTCTCACCCAACACGAAATACCGAGCTGATGGCGGACGACGGGAAGAACATGAATTCGAAGATCAAAGTTTTCACTTTCATTTTGTGGACAAAGATTGTTATTTGTATGGCGTGTTTGACGGATATAATGGCAGAGCTGCCGCAGAGTTTGCAGCACAGAGGCTTCCTGCGGAACTACTGTTTGGGCAACTTACAGGTACAGTAAAAACCATGGAAATTGACAGATTTAATTTATTAAACCGTAGCCTATCGAAGGGAAGATGGCTGTGAAACTCATTAGAATAATAATATAATTCATTATCTATGTTGGTCAACGTTTATTCATAAATCTGGTCCTTCACCGTCACGTGCATATTGTATTCTTACCCAACTAACCAATAGCAATGTTTTAGGAAAGTCACCTATCCGTAACTCGAACAATAGGGAAACTGGAAATTGCTATTGGTGGGTTTGAATAATGTTGACTAACATCATAATGAGTTATATTGTTATTCTAATGATAGACTAACGTTGACCACGTGCGTTGACTAACATCATAATGAGTTATATTGTTATTCTAATGATAGACTAACGTTGACTAACATCATAATGAGTTATATTGTTATTCTAATGATAGACTAACGTTGACTAACATCATAATGAGTTATATTGTTAGGCCAAAAAAAAAAATATGTGGGTTTCCGGTTTCTTCTTATAAAAACTTAGGTAGGGTAGGTCGGTCTTAACTTTTTTTTTTTAAACTTTTTTTTAATTTTCCGAACAACCGGACGCCATTTTGTTTAGTCAGTGCTTCCACATCCAAAGATAAATTTCCTTAATATTGCCTCAAATTTCAATTTTCCACAAACTTTTTCCTCTAAGTGGAAACACTTACAAGCATGATCCAATAAAAAAGTTTAGGGTCGGGATTTCGGCGTCCAAAAGCTAGGTAGGGTCGGGAAACCGGAAACCCACATATTTTTTTTTTTGGCCTTATTCTAATGATAGACTAAATTTTGATCTAGACAAAAGTTTCATCACAGCTTGAAAGAGCATCACAAAATTAGTAATATTCCAAAGTTTCGTTTGCGAAATGTTGTAAAATGCGGATAATATAGCCATGCGAGGTTTGCCGTATATTTCAGTCATTTTGTATTACGCACGGGAAATTGACAGCCCAATCGGGTGTCGGGGCATCAATTTCCCGTTTGTAATGCAAAATGACTGAAAGTTGCAAATTTCGCAAGGCTATATTATCCGCATTTTACAACATTTCGCAACGAAACTTTGGAATATTACTAATTTTGTGATGCTCTTTCAAGCTGTGATGAAATTTTTGTCTAGATCAAAATTTAGTCTATGATGCAAATGGTCCATTGTCGAAAGATTTTGTAGATGAAAATTTCAAGTGTAAATTTTATTAGACCTATAACCAGGAGAAGTTGTGAAAAATGCAACTATAGGCCCTCTGGCAGCAGTTGAACCTGCATGTGGCCCCGCGATTCCGGTGCAGCGCTCTAACCAACTGAGGTACAGAATCCAGTTGTCGAGCTCTACAGGGTGTATCAAAAAAAGCGCAATCCTCGACTGAAATGTAAATTGCTAAACAAATAATAGACGAAAACGTTAAAGTTTGCATTCATTTTAAAGCGTAGCCATTCAGCTTTCTAACAGTGGGTTGTTTCTTAAATTTGACTCATTGGTTCGCGGGTACTAATACTTTACGTTATTGCGATTGGAGATTAAAAAAATTGAGATGGAATAACAAATCGTTCTCATGAAAATAACTGATTTTTTCATTAAAACAAAAAAATGTTGCATTTTATTAAATGGATTGTAACAATAAGTATAATTACGGCTTTTCTTCCACTATTTTTAACTCAGTTTGAAACTTCAAATGCGATATAATTTTGGCTTGGACCATCTAAGCTGACTGACATCAACTTGCTATAATTTCTGTTTACTACATCATCGCAGACACTCTGGCTCAGACACCAGAATGTTTTGACGATTTTAGCATTCGTTTAGGATTTTCAAACAACCTGGTCTCTTTTAAAATACTTTTAATTTGTTCTTACGTGGTTTTCCGGATGTAGTGACGACAACATTAAAGTTTAAAGAAGAAAATTCTAACATTTAAACCGACTAAACAATAACATAGTAAACTTGCATAATTAAACAGCAACTAAAAATGATAGGTTTTACTAAATCTTTTCCTGTGCAATTATTACTAGCATTGGAGACAAGGATAATAGTTTGTTTGAAAGAGAAAAGAACAGGCTTTGAAGTAAGCCTAAAAGCGTTTAACTAGAAATAGTATTTCGAAAGTTATTAAGCACAAAAGATGAATTGCGTTTATTTTGATACACCCTGTATAACTGCAAGTTCATGTATATATATACAAAGGTGGTGCCAATGTGAGCTGTATGCCAAAAATATCAGGATTTTATTGGCGTCTCACTCAATAGAACTAACTGTCAAAGGATTTTTGTAGATTGAAATATCGAGTGTAAAGCTTATACATTTATTAGGCCTTAGGTCATGCTACTATATGCTACGCTATGCCAGCTACATGTATATAATTTCCTTGGGCCGGTTGTACGAAGGCCGGATTGTAATTTTTTCAAGTTTTGTTAAATTGATCGTTGATTGGTATAACTCGTATTATATAGTTTAGTATTTATAAGTTAAATGTTTTTTTGTACTTCTTGCAGTCGTTTTTGTCCGTAGTTTCACACTTATTCAAGGATGAAAAAATCACTATCCGGTGGATAGCACTATCCGGTCTTTGTTTGTACGAATATATATACTGTACCACTCCACATGATATTTGGAATTGGCCTTACTTTCCTGAATTCTTAATGACTAGCTGAAAAAATTAAAAGCATTTCAGCATTTGAGTTGAAAGTGCCTTAGTTAGGAGGCCAGTATGTCAAAATGTTTTTATAATCTTTATCAAGTAGTTAAAGACACAAACAACAACAGTAATAAATTATACCAAACATGCTGAAATGTATTTTTACATAGATGATATGAATGATGATGATATCATGATAGTTCTAAAGCAAGCAATTATGGGGGTGGAGAAAGGATTTTTTGACTCTATTGGTGATGAACTAGTGGAAAAGACTTTAATAGAAGAAGAAATTGCTGTGAGTATTGTTGTTATAGTCGGCACTACAGACGCCGTGAATCGGCATTTTATAGAGCGTGTGATGAATGCCAGTTTATTGTAAAGAGTTAAATATTTCTTCCATACAGATTTTCTCTTGCGAAACTGAACGTGTTTGGTAATGCCAATTAGCAACTTACTGTATTGCACAACATTACTAGAAAAGAGAAACAGTTTTATATATTAATAACTACAGTGAAACACGCAATTTGATTGGTCGAGAAATTACAATGCCTTCGCGGGATTTTTGCAGGATTCTCAACATGTCATTGTTTCACTGTAGTTATTTTATAAAACAATTACCAATTACAAACAATTATAAAACAATTACTTGCATGGGATGTTGGTCGACTTCGGAAAGCGTAAAAATACACTCGCCTGCGGCTCGAGTATTTTTACGCTTTCCGAAAGTCTCGCGATATCCCTCGTGTTTTTTCTTCTTCTAAATTTCATTTTGTGACGGCTCCTTATTACGTGCATCTTACCATTCGGTATTCCTTTATTCTCACATGCGAAGTTTCGTCCAGTTAAATGTTACAACGATGATGTATCAGTAAATTAACTCACGACCGGAATTTTCCCGCCCATTGGTTTGAGCATATAGACAATCCAGAAGATTCTGGATTGTCTATGGTTTGACTTGTCAAAGCCTTATGGTTTGACTTGATATGGTTTGACTGGATTGTCTATGGTGTTACGTACATAGTCAACGTGAACGTAAACTCTTTATATTGATTTTTATCATTGTTTGAATTAATTTTATGATGAGAAGCTAATTTGCCTGTATATATCATCTATGACTTACTGTAAGTGCAGTGAAAACGCAGTATCTATAAAATAAACAATTTTTTCATGGGAAATGCTTTTGTATTGTATCAAATATGCACTTGTTAATTTGTTTTCACGAAACCCACTCGCTCATTGCATTCGCTCGTTCGTTTTGTGAAAGAAAATTAATTAACGCGCGTGAAAATACCATATCTCAACGTAATCTCTGTATATCATTCGTACTCGTTAGAATGCTGCATTGGCACTCAATATGAGCTGTTGTAGTTTGTGTCTGAACTGTGATCTGAACCACCCGGAAAATGTCAAACACGAAATGAAGAGATTGTTTACTAGGCAAAATATTTTTAAATATATGACTTTTGGATTAGACACAAAATTGGCTCAGAATACTGAGACTTTTAAAAGATCCTAATTTTGAATCTTTGTTTCCCACTGTCTTCCTTAAATATTGTATGATGGTCGTGTTTTAAGTACTATTCAGAACATGAGTGGCAGTGTTTTATCAGATTATATGGAGATACGAGGCGAAGCCGAGTATCTTTAGGTCTGATAAATTCAAAAACGATCTATCTAGTAAGTTCATTGGCAAAGTAATTTTCAAAAAAACGTTGTGTAAGTCGAGAAAATCAAAGTTAAAGTTTATGTAGATCAAGGGAAATCTCTATCACATATAAAGATACGACACCCTTATATGATTTTTCTTTGTGTTTTCCTCATGAATTATTAATGAGTTTTTGAAAGAAGTATAATCAGAGCTGGAAAAAAAACTACTTTCTTTTTGTGACCACTGTGACAACACAAAATTTTGCCACTATTCTGGTATGTGGCTAAATAGGCAAGAACGGGAAACGAAGGGGATACAGTAGTTGCATGATCGAGTCGAATCAGTCTAAATGACCTTATTTTTTATTATATGTTATTCCAGTTGTATAATTAAACTTGACCAGCCATGCCTTGCCCTACAGCAGGCCGAGAAAATATATTTCTCTAATTCTCTTCCTGGCAACGAGATACGTACCTGCATAGGTACTGTAAATCTCAGATAATGGTGACGTATGCCAAAAACAGGCGTACTATACTTATATACAGTACCCACAACCAGGCATAGTTCATACATCTAGATACAGACTGCTATATAGTTCATACCCCTGGATACAGCCCGCGAAACTACATCATACTGCATTTTTATGTAGACAAATGCTACAAAACCATAACTAAAAGGTACTGTATGCCGAAATCCGGCGTACTTTAATATACACAAACCATGGCCACAATTGTTATGGTGCTGCTCATTGTGACAATCTCGGTGCAAGACGCAAAACTTGCAAAACGCTTTTGTAAACAATAAGTGGTTTTTCAGTATATGAGATGACAAAAATTTCTTGCAAAATGTAAGACAATTTCCTGCGAAGATATTTTGTAAAAAAATTTCTGGCTGCGGTGCTTCTACTGTAGACATTTCCCAGCACTGCCCTCCAAGCCTTTGTTAACTTCACATCTACAATGCAACTTAGTCCATCCATTTTTCACTCCCTTCAATTATTTGTTTTGTTCTGTTTATTTTTGTTTGTTTGTTTGTTTGTTTGTTTGTTTGTTTGTTTGTTTGTTTGTTTGTTTGTTTGTTTGTTTGTTTGTTTGTATGTATGTTTGTTTGTTTGTTTGTTTGTTTGTTTGTTTGTTTGTTTGTTTGTTTGTTTTCATTCATTCTTTCTCCATCCAAACATTTTCTGGGGACTATAAGATTTTATCCCGATACTTTTTCCACCCCTAGTAATATTATTACCCAATCGTTCTCTGTAGGGTCTTAATCAGTATGACGCTGCTCAGCAATATCCTGTCAAGGTGGAGAGACTTCGTACAATCGAACAAGAGATTGCATGTGGAACTACTGCAGTCGTGGCGCTGATCTATAACAACAGATTGTTTGTTACCAATGTTGGTAACTGTAGAGCTGTCTTGTGTACTACTGATAACAATGGACGCCTACATGTACAACAGGTGTGTATAGACCAAGTCAGAGTTTCGATTGCGCATCCAAATGATGGGCACAAATTGCAGTTTGAAGTGTTGAACTATAACATCTAGCTGAGACAAAAAGTTGCCCAAAGAACAATTACTTTCCGCACTGTTAATTCGCTTTAATAACCGGCCATTATTTATAGTGGGGTGGCACCGATGAGAAATGTTTTTCTTGGTAAAAAATTGCTGATCCAACCATTAAAATTTTCTTTACCTAACCTCAAATATCAATCTAGGGTACCTTTCAGTTATCACACACACCACTTCTGTGACATGACTTTTGATGGCTGCTTGTGCAATTTTTTGACAAATGTCTGACAGATTTATTTGCCTCCTGACAACTGTCTGACAGATTTATTTCCATATTGTATTGACATATGGTTGCTGATATGGTTATGGTTTTTTGGCTTTTTAGTCTTCAATATTTGAGCGAGTCATGCTTTGGAAATGACAATAAATTTTTATTACCCAATCTTTGAGTTGTTTATTTTTCCCGTTTTCCCAACCTTTTACTCACTCAAAATTTTGCGTGCCAAACCCTTTTCTCGTTGGTACCTCCCTCGCCATAAATAATGACCGCTCCCTAAATTATGAAAATAAATACCCTTAGGTGTACCTTCTTTGTTTTGCTTTACACCAAAGACAAAAAATATGCTAGTACAAAAATTCTTTAACTTGCAATCCTATTGTGGCTATCAGTGAAACACAAATGATGATTCAACAATTGAATACTTTGATATCTGCATATTCTAATTCTTCCAGTCTCAGCCACATGTGATATATAGTTCAAGTGGGATTTGTTCCCAGCGCAGAGCACCTCGTTTGGATGCGCAGTCGAAACTCTGTTTATAAATTTTAACTTTTTCAGACATTTCGTTTTCTATGAACAAGAAGGGCAGTAAATTTCTCTTTAGTTTTGCGAACGATAGTGATAGGGAGTGGTCATCTGCAAAATTATCGTAGACGCAAGGGTTTCTATTTTCCTGTAGAATTTCCATCAGCATGTGTTTGACATTATTATAGCCGGCATAATAATGCGCCCATACTCCATATGACCCCCAACAACTAAGAAGTCGGGGCTTTATTTGCTCCGAGAAGTTTTTGCATTTAAGAACCTCGATTCCCTCAAAGCACTTAACAAGAGCTTAAAGTATAAATATAAGTATATACCAAGGCTATTCACGGCCCAAATGAAAAATATGACTTCATTGATTTCAGTATTTTTTTTAATTCAACATGCATTGACCATTTATTTATTATACTAAAATAGAACTCATGATAATCTGATTTTCGGACTTGTATCTGTTCATTCAGATTCTTGATCTAAAATTATGAGAGCAGGCTATCTTCAGACGGCCGGCGGGGTGAAAATTAACACAAATACATTTCAGACCGGTCTTTGCTCTTGGCTTCGGAACAATACATGCTCACAAACTTCACGAACGTCAGGTAAATTTTCGGCCTCCTCCCTAATCTTTTTCGTCCCGCACGCCTATGTAGGTTATTATTTTAATCAATAGTTTTTAACAGATAATTTGAACCGAAAATGCAACAAGGCACATGCATTCAATACATTCATTCGTTTCTGAACAAGTAAGAATGATTTTCACTATTTTAAGCAGCAAGCAGTCTCAGCCGTAATTGGCTGGACAAAAATAATTGTATGAGCAAGAACAAGCCACACAACTGTCGACTAATTGTATGAGCAAGAACAAGCCACACAACTGTCGACGACAACAACAACAACAACAACAACAGCAACAACAACAGCAACAACAACAGCAACAGCAACAACAACAGCAACAATTGATAATGCTTGTGATAATATTGATGATGCTTGAAACCTGCTTCAATAACATTATTGGTCAACTCAGAAACTAAAATCCGTGCTGTCTTTCACAAAAATGTTTCCAATCATTTTTCCTTGAATCTGTTGAAAACTGAAAAAATTCCTTGCACCAGTAAAGAGTACAGAATGTGCAATACGAAAACGACAAAACAGGGCGCGAAATAACGGCTGGAGCCGGAGGATCGCCGGCCAATTCAATTTTATGGTTCTTAATTAAAATACTTGACAACTTTATTTTGATTATTAATTCAGCCAAACTGAATAACGTATCTTTTTACAGTTAAGTACAGATCACATAATTGGGAATGAGAATGAATTGATCAGACTATCAAACCTTGGGTTAGATGTTGAGAACATAAGAAGAGGGCCAAAGTTTGGGAATCATGAATCTACGAGGTGCATTGGTGATTATACTGTGAAAGGCGGTTATAAAGAGTTTGATCTTTTGAGGTAATGGAAAAATTTGGTATTCGTCGATTGTCTTTTTTTATTTGGATAATAATGGGATCTAAAATAAACCAAACAACTTGAAGCAACGGTCACAGATTGCTTCAAAACAAGCTATTTAATCTAAGTGTCCCCAATTCCTAGGTTATATACGCTTTTCATAAATGGCTGCCGATTAAAAATTCTTTTATGTGCATATAAATTGGCCCAACTAGCCTCGTACTCATGTTAAGATTTCAAAGGAATTTCTACCCAGAAACGAGGCTAGTTGGGTGCACATAAAAGAATTTTTAATCGGCAGCCATTTATGAAAAGGGTCTATTTGGTAACGCGAGGTCTGTACATAGAAATATCGGACCGAGGTGTTTTTTGTACAGACCGAGCCCGTAGGGCGAGGTTTGTACAAAAAAGACCTCGGTCCGATATTTCTCCGTACATGCATACAGAGCAAGGGAGGTTAATAATAACTTTATTATATGGCATTTGTCGGCATTTATACTTGAAACAAACAAGAAATGCATGATTTGAAACTGCATATTAATAGCGTGGTAGGCCTACACATTTGGTCGAAAAAAAAACAAAAAACAATGTATCTCTTCTTTTCCACTAAAAACCATTCGCAGATATCTTATTAATATAAATTGAATTATAATTTTCAAATTTTCAATTAGTTTTGCTGTTTCGTTTTAAAATGCATGCGTTTGTTTTTGCCTAATGCACCGCTGGTCCATTACAGGAAAATAATGGACCGCTGAAAGTGCTTCTCAGCCAATCACAGTCCGCCATTTCACCGGAAGTGATGCTTGCCATATAATAATAATACGTAATAGGATTGTTTCTCGTGAAATTTTGATAAAACAAGCACTCTATTCTGCATACTATTACAGCACCTATATAGCAATCTTGAACTGTCTGTGCCAGTGTAGGTAGTGCCAATAGTATAAACAAGCTTTCTTTGGCAGGGATGCAACTACCTGAAAAATATAAGAAGAATTTCGAATACAAGACTATACTACATTGTAGTCTCTGATGTCTGCAGGTTGCCCACCATCTGCTGCACGATAGTGCTTTGTGAAACCCAGCTATAATAGATACGTTAATTGCTTATTCATTCCTGGGCAAAAACGAATGCATATACCTTATTAGTATAATTACAAAGGTGATTATCGAAAATTGTGGCCGCTGATTGGTCAAGCGACCTCTGATTATTACGCGATAATCACCTAAGCGGTTTTTTCAAAATGGCGGCGAGTGACAGATAAAGAAATAAGTAATTTTAAAGAAAATGCTGTACCTACGAGCACGAAAAAAGGGACAAAATTTGGCTTAAAATTATTTCGAGGTAGGAAACTAAGTTGCAGAAATCTGCTTAACTTTATTTCGCATAAAACATCGTTTTATTTTAAATTGCCGTACAATTGTCTAGACATTTGTTTACGTTTGTAAAAATATATTTTCTACAGATTGGTTTCAACAACAGTCAGAATTCACAAATGAGTTTGAAGACATGAGTATTGACGAAATGAACCAAATTTTTATCAAAATTCTATACCTTTCTGTAAGAAAAAGTGATACGAATTACTACAAAAAAACATCCTTGATGGCGATACGAGCGCCTTCATTGCGCATACCGCTTTCTTTATGAATTTAATTAAACGATTTTCAAAAAATTGAGATGTGTTATATTATTTTTTTCAAATAATCACCTTTGTAATTATACTAAAACAATTATTCGCCTCAGGCTCGGTGAATATCGCTGAATAAAAACCTCGACTTCGTCTCGGTTTTTATTCAGCGATATTCACCTCGCCTTCGGCGAATAATTGTTAATTATAGGAAATTAACGATGCACTTTATTAACGCGACATAAATTAACGCGACATCAAATTAACGCGGATTGCTTCTAGCACAGAATAAAGACATACAGAAGTGTAACTTCCATTACAAAACCGTAAGGCGCTTTTTACCGAAATAGCTGGCGGCCATGTTCTTAGCAAGTGCCCTAAAGAGAGGCATTCACCCCCTGGAATATTAAATTTTCAATATGTTTTCAGTTAGTGTTATATAAAACAAATTTAGGTATTTTTAACTAACGATAAATGAAAATTGCATACTTAAAATTAACGATCACATAAATTAACATTAATTAAATTAACGCGAATTTTTAAAAACCGCGTTAATAAAGTGCATCGTTAATTTCCTATAATAAGGTATATATCTTTCCTAAATGTTTGCAGTGCCGCTATTGATGAGCCTGTGATTGCAGAACCAGAGAGTTTTGGAGGCATACCGATTGACGAATCATTTTATTGTCTCGTGTTAATGTCAGATGGTCTGTACAAATCCTTAGAAGATTCCAAAGTCTTGAGCCAAGATGTAAATGTTGAAATTCTTGGCCTGGTGACAGCCGAACTACAAGCACAGTCCACAATCAACGGTGTCTGCCAGGCAGTGGTTGACAGGATATGCCGATATCATCATGATGGCTTTATGAGTCAGAATAAACTATGTGAACGCAGAGATGACATGACCTTGCTTGTGAGATTGTTTAATGCTCAGCTAGGTGGTAATACGCCAAGCCCTGTTTCACCTCTAACTAATTTTCATCCATTTTCAGGTAAGTGATATCAATACTTGCGGTTCATATAAGCTCGATTTGCCTGGGAAGCCATGCACCTGACTGGGATGAATTATTTCTGTATTCCTACGACAGTTGTATCCCACCTAATCTACGTTTCATTTCTGGTTATTCCGCATCCTGTTATTGTTGATCGAGTACTAAGTTTGGTATCGTAGTTTTCAGCTAACTGCAAACACGGCACGCAAAACATGATCCAACAGCAAGTAGCCTAGGAATAAATTAAAAGTTATAGAAAGATTGGGGAACTGGGGCATGCTCCCCCTGCAAAATTTGGTAAATTGAGGCTCGGAAATGCCATTTCCTGCACCTTAAATTGGACAACAAAAATGTGACAAAAATTGTTTCTGGTTTTGGTCAGTTTGTATGACTCAGTGGGAGCCAAAATCGCCGGCAAATTAGCATAGTCGAACTACCTGGCGATGGATGAAGCTCACGCTTTTCAACCAAGATCGATATTATAATACGACCGAATCTATTTTCAGGGCGGCTTAGTCCCCTGTAAAAACTGTGACGGGTGCCCCCACCCCACTTTAAATTCACCCAAGGAATATTTCATTGACCTGAATGTTGGGTGTTCACTTTGCCTCCCATAAGCAGCGATCAAGAGTCTTCATATTACTGTTCATATTCTGATCGGGTTTTTTCTTTTTTAGCGGGGAGGGGTTTAGGCCCCCAGGTTTAGTTCTGGTGGGGCTATAGCCCTCTTAGCTTCATGTTTCGCCGCCGTTGACTGTCGTCTATATACCAGTAGAATTATATCCAAGTATACATTCGTGCGAATACGTTAAAGGTGATGTAAAGTCCGTAATGTAAACAAACGCTTTGTTTACATTTTGAACTCAGTGCTACAGTTATAAAATATTAGATATATATTATACTGAATTTTTAACACTCTTCCGGTTCGTATGCTTGTAAATGAATGCAGACTAGAGATTCAATTCAAGAAAGTTCGGAAGGTGCGAAATATTAACAACATTCCAAAGGTTGCTCCCCCACTGATGGAATGTGTTGATGCGCAGAATATATGCGCAGAACGGACTTTACAGCATCTTTAATATGTGTATTTTATACATTTTGTAGGTCAGAACAACCTTGGCTTTCTTCAATTCCCATTTCCAGCAAATGGTGGGGTTTGGACGTCTACTTCACCTGCGCTTCGACCCCCTTTTTCCACTCTTGGTAAATCGTCTGGCTTGTTGGCTGTTCCGCCTAAAACAACGCTATCATTCACCACTGCACCTATGGTGGCAGGAGACAGTCAAGAAACGTTCCCTGCGGGACAAGCTGTGCTACCTGCTGATGCTGACGAAACTGACGGCGACTTCGTAGAATGCTACGTGGATTTCTCAGAATATTACAAAGCGATTGAAATTCACGGAGAGGATTATGTCATCAATTCTGTTCAATTGTAACATGTAAGACATGTAGGGAAACAACCCCCCGTGGTTTGGGTCTGAACTACCTGATCAACATTAAAAGATTTCTTCATCTTTCTCAGGTAAGTTCAGACACAAACCACGCAACTTATTATAGAAGACTGCTGCGCTTAAATATGGATTTAGCATGAAGAACATGCACGGAGAGTTGTGGGATTGCTAATGCACAAAGTGCTTTCAGGCTAGCCTGCAAAGCGCCTATTGGTGCTCTCTCCAGCTGAAGCCTGAATATGCAGGTTCAAACCTGGGTTGGGCCAACTTTATATATTGACTATGCGGTGTTGAGTTATACATACAGTATTAGTAACGACCATCTGTACATACTCATGGGTAATAGAAAGCTGCGGATTAATAGATTCCACTACCTGAAAAATATAAGCAGAACTTCGACGTTTTCCGCAACTTTCCTGTTATCGTCACTACGTTACACCATGGATAATAAAATACATGGATAGGAAACTAGCTGACGTGACCTAATGTTTTCAATGGGATGATGGCGTTGAAACCTAGTTGCAAACCAAATTCTCAAAAACGGCATGTTTAGCGATAATACAGCTAAACATTTTAGTCAAAGAGCAAATAAATATAACTAGGCCATTTTACGATGAAATCCCGGTCAATTTTAGCAAATATTTCAAGCACTAAACAGTGAAAAATGCGTCGCAAATTTCGTAAAAATTGGCGACGCCTTCGTAGCTACAAATGTTAAAAAATACAAAACAAAGACGAAAAATATTTACCTTGAATACTTTGTCTTGGCTTAGGCATGTTTTTTAAAACAATTAGACCAGTTTATGCTTCAATATTACTCTTTTAAAGCGGAAAATATAGCGAAACAACAAAAATGCTGAGAACTTTGGCAATACACGTGACGTCACATATTGCAACTAGGTTTAGACTGTGACGTCAGGAAGTTTCCTATCCAGTTATTTTAAATCCATGGTTACACTGGCACAGACCGTCATGATAATAGACTCTTCCCGAATTTGCTGGCTGGCAGTAAAGGTTAGAACATTCTCATGTGTACTTTATGGTATATAGAGAGCAGTGGCGGTGGAACAGTTTATATTTAGGGGGGGGGACTAATTTCCAGAAATTGTCCAACAAATAAAAATTTCCCCCTAAATTTGCCAAATTTTTATATGTATGTCTTTTAAAATTTGGAATCTTATCTATTTTTAGGGGGGCTTAGCCCTGCCCCCACTTTACTGTTGGGGGGCTATAGCTGCCCCCGTTCGGCCGAGTGCCGAAAATAAAATCATTAGGTGCATTTTAAAAGCACTCTATATCCCACAGGGCACAAATAACCTTGCTCTAACCGTCTTAGAGAACGGTCGCACCCTTGAAGTATAGAGTGAATGTGTTGATTGGTTTTGAAGGCATTATTGACAAATTTCATACGAGTTATTCTTCATTTTGGAAGCATATGTAGAATATTTTGGCTGGTTGGAAATTGCCAAATATTTTGAAAATCAAGGCAGATAAAACTGAGAAGCATCAGAATTCATAGCTCTCTAATGTAATGATTTAATAATTATATTCGTGGTCTGTGCATTCGTGCAAATTCGGAAAGTGTCTATTAAAAGATAAACACTAGTAAAGTATCGTGATTTCATACTGTCTTGTGATTTCTCGAGTGGAACTAATTAGAAAAGACAAAGAGAAATTCTTCTCCGTAGAGGCTTCAGTTGGCTATGAAAAGAGGCTTCAGTTGAAAATTCCACCTAGTAACCCGCATATAAGAACCTACATTTTCCAAGTTAGCCTAAAGTCAGGTTCTTATGTGAATGGTGCTTACCAGGAAATTAGGCTAAACAGGTTCTTAAATAGACTAAATAAAATATTTTAGCCTACTAACAGGTTGTTTTATAACTTTTGTATTAAATTTCAATAAATAATTTGAATAAATTATTCATCAAAAGGAACTTTATGGTACGTGTTACGTCATATACCTACTTTTGTCATGATATGTCTCGCTCCGGAAGACAAAAATTACAAATATCCTGGCTTTGTTCTGACATGAAAAACGTATATTTCGCCACGAATTTTTCGCTCTTGCGTTGGTTTAATCTATGGTTTAATGTAGAGGTTGTACTCGCTTTATAGTTTCGTGGCTATATTTTTAAGTGAGTTATGGGGAAATGTCTGTCTATGTGTTCGGCACAAGAAAATATAAACACAGGCAAATCGACCAGTCATTCTGTCGCTGGCCCTCAAACCAATGTGTACGAATCCACACAGAAAAAAACAGTTCAGACAGATAGAATCAACGTTGTCGAAATACCTCGCTCATATATGGTGAAGTCTGAGTTCGATGACTCGAAAATTGAAGCAATGTTTCAAAAATACACAGACGAAAGTGAAGACGCTATTCTTGTGAATGGAATGGAATGGTTTTGCCAAGATCTTGGTGTGAATCCTGCCGAATTCGTGGTACTCGTGTTGGCTTGGAAATTTAACGCTTCTAAAATGTGCCGTTTCACGAAACAAGAGTTCGTCGAGGGTTGTAAATTATTAAAAGTCGATAATGTGAATGCAATTAAACACAAAATGGCCGACATAGAAAAGGAAGTCAGAAAGAATACTGAAGATTTTCGCGAGCTTTATAAATTTACGTTTGGATTTGGGTTAGATGTCGACGAAGGACAGCGAAGTCTACCTGTAAATATGGCTATACCTTTATGGAAGTTAGTTTTTGGTGACAATGGCCCAGTATATATGGACAGATGGTATGAGTATATTGAAGAAAGGGGGGTTAAAGTCATCCCAAGGGATACATGGAACATGTTTCTACATATGGCCGAATCAATAAAACCTGACTTTAGTAATTACGATGAATGCGAAGCATGGCCTAGCTTATTTGACGATTTTGTCGAAGCTCAGAGACATAAGACATCGAACGGAACTGCCGAGTCAATGGCGGAATAAATCATCCAAATAACTAAGACCCCACTAAGGGCTGTCTCAAAATGTTGACACTTCTCTCTATAAAAATAACCTGCTAAAAAACATAAACCCCCTCCCTTGCCCAAAATATGAATTGATGCACGTCGGGTTTTTTAAGACATTTTAAAGGCTTGTTTCACAAACATACTACTTCTTTGACATTTTAATGCTTTTAAAACGATGCGATTCTGACAGGCACATGCTCTTGAGTGTTTGACAACACAGCCAAAAATATCCAATTGTTTGCTATTTTTTGCTGCATGTTTATGATTCCATAAACATAAACTTTGTAAATATTGTGACACACATTGCAACCAAGCTTACATAGATTTCCTTGAGTGCCTTACGGAACTCTATTCTTAGCAGGTTATTTGCAATGGCATAACAAAACCTCGTGAGATCCCCCATCAAATTCACAAAAAAATTTTCCCTGTCCATGCCTACTAAAAAAGGGGTCCAAATGTCACTAATTCCTGATTTTCGGGGCCACCTTTTGCAGATTTTCGGGTCTTCTCTAACTGAGGCTTGGGGCAATTTGCCTAATGTACTAGCAAAAATGTTTAACATGTTCATTTTTCTTGTTTCTAAAACTTTCACCTTTGTTGTTCATAACTTATTACTTATTTTTATTTCTCAAGGATTTATACAAAAGGTTAATTTAATTTAATTTGCAACGTTTCGGACATTTTAAATGTCCGTCTTCAGGCGACAATTGTTGTTAATTGTTATATTCAGCATTTTTTAATATAAC